AGCTTGTTTCTCCTTGTCTTATCCTTAACCGTGAACCCCTGTCTCTTTTCCTGTTTTTCCTTTCTTATTCTCTTTTTATCCTTCCTTCTTTTCTCTTTTTCACCTTTCCCTTTCTTTTCCCTCCTTTCTTTTTTCTCTCTTTACTCTTTTCTTTCCCTTTTCTTTTTCTTTCCCCCTTTTCTTCCCTTTTCCTTTCCCTTTCCCTCTCTTCCTTTCTTTGTTTAGAGGGTGCCCGTCCGTCCGGAGTCTCTACGTCCTACCAACTTCTCTACAGTGTCGCCTTCCCGCCCGCGGGTTCCCCCAGGAGGGGGTGGGGGAGGGGGTGTTATATTTATTATGTTGTTGTTTCTGGTATTGTTTCTTTTTGTTTGTGTAGTTGCTCTCTCAGTCAAGGTAGTCCTTTGTCTTGTCAACATTTCCTGGAAGTCAGCATTAGTCGAGGTCAGTATCCAGTGTGTCCAGATCGTCATGTACGTCTGGGTCCTCCCCTCTGCCAGCAGGGAGAGCTCTTCTCAGCTCCTCCATTCTTTGGTACCATGTCCCACACTGGGTATTTTTAAACTCAGGACAAAATTTTGAATCTATTTAGCAGTTTTTTTCATTCGCTTTTGTAGATGAGTAAAAGATTTTTCAAGTAAAAGTCAAAAAACATGTATTTTTTTTCAATTTTTCATCTTTTTTTTATTTTTTTTAAATTAATTACATGAGATTATATAAATAATGGTATGTAAAGAGAGCCCCTTTTGTCCTGAAAAAAAAACAATATATAATTTGTATGGGAACAGTAAATGAGAGAGCGGAAAATTACAGCTAAACACAAACACCACAAAAGTGTAAAAAGAGGCCTGGTCGCAAATGTACAACATCGCAAAAACAGTCCAGTCCTTAACCCCTTAAGACCGGAGGGCGTACTATTACGCCCTATTTTAGGCTGCTCTAAACGCCGCCAGGCGTAATAGTACGTCCTCCGGTCTTTCCTTACTTACCCGGTCGCCGGCGGTCCCACGCTGGCGATCGCGGATGGGGGGACTCCCAGGGAGCCCCCACGCGGCAGATCCTCCTCCTCCGGTGCCCCCCGGCCATGTGAGAGTGAGGTCCTTGCGAGGACCTCACAATCACATGGCCGGGTAGGCTGCCTCCTGCATTGACAGAAGGGGGGCTGCCTGTAATGACAGGTGGTCCCCCTGCTGGCTGAAAATAAAATAAATAAATGTTAAAATAAGTGTAAAAAATATATATATATATACTTAGATCATATATATATTATATATATGATCTAAGTATAAATATACACATATACATACACACACATACACTGTATAGGTGTATTTTACTATTAATATATATATATATATGTATATATATATATATATATATATATATAATTATATATATATATATATTAATATCAAATTACATGTAGACTGATACTGATTAAATATATATATAATTATTGTTATATATATTTATATATAATATAAAAAATGTAAATATGTAAATACATTAAAAAATAAAATAAAAAATTTAAAAAAATAATAAAAAAATATATAGATGTGTGTTATTTCGTTCTAACTGTATTGTGATATTAATATATATTTATATCAAAATACACGTAGAACCAAATAATATATATATCTATATACATAAAAATATACTTATATATCATTATATATATACCTATTTTTAAATAAAAATATTTTTAAAAAATTATATACATATATACATATATATTCACATATGTATATATATATACATATATTAATTCTACATATATATTTATGTAATATTTTTACATAATTGGGTATCTTAATTAATTACAATTAGCGGGACCTGCCTGACAACCCATGCCGAAAGTAAAGGGAATTTAACCCTATAACTTTCCAAGACACCATAAAACCTGTACATGGGGGGTACTGTTCTACTCGGGGGACTTCGCTGAATACAAATATTAGTGTTTCAAAACAGTAAAATGTATTACTACGATGAGATCGCCAGTAAAAGTGAAGTTTTTTGCATTTTTCGCGCACAAACAGCACTTACACAGACGATATTATTGTCCAGACACTTTGGCCAGTGTTTGTGACCAAATGGCTACTATAAAAGACTGGACATACCCCATTTGCAATACCTTGGGTTGTCTACTATTGCAAATGGTATGCCATTATGGGTGTAAATTTCATTCCTGGGCTACTATACAGTCTCAAAGGCAACGTAACCAATCTGGCAATTTCAATTTCAAATGTAGCGTGCTATATTTGACCCTGTAACTTCCCAAAACGCCATAAAACCTGTACATAGGGGGTACTGTCTTACACGTGAGACTTTGCTGAATACAAATATGTGTATTTTATTGCAGTAAAAGCAAACAGTATTATGACATTGACAGTTAAAATGTCATGTAGAACAAAAAAAATCAAAAAAAATCTTATTTTCTCCCATTTCCTTCATATTAAATTATGTTTCATAGCTAAATATTTGATATTAAATGAAAGCCCTGTTTTCCCTGAATAAAATGATATATAATAAGGGTGGGTGCATTTACTATGAAAGAGGTGAATTACGGTTGGACAGACATGTAGCGCAAATGCCAGGTTTTATTTACATTTTGTTTCGTTCACAACGTGTACATTTGGCTCCGTCCTTAAGGGGTTAAGGGGTTAAACAGCCATATTTTTCTACTAGATATTATATCATATATTAAGTTAAAAAAAAATATATATATATATATATATATATATATATATAGAAAATAAAGAAGAAAGTCAATATATATATATATATATATATATATATATATATAAAGGCTAGTAAAGTGAGCATGGAAAAACAACAAAAGAAAATATATATATATAGTGTTGCTTTTCTTTTTTTATTGTCTTTTTTCCATGATCACAGTTTACTAGCCTTTTTGTTGCTTTTACATTGAAAGTTGTTTACGTATAGACAGTTTGCTAAATCATTTGTTGCTGCTTAGTTTTCACAGAGTTACGTTTTTAATCACTAATCAGTAAAGGGCCAATAGCATTACAAGAAATTGGACTTCAAAGCAATTCATTACTTAAACTGTCAGATTAATGATGCGTTGTTATGTATGAATTAGTAAAGTAAATATACGTGTCTTTATGTTTTAACTCCTCAAGTGTCAAACTGTTATCTTTAAGTGTGAACAAAAACAACAGGATTTCCTAAATCCACACTACCCACCAATGCACTCTGTAAAAAATATATTGAGCAAGAGTGGAGGACGTGTAAGAGAGAAAACACGAGAACTATTTTTTTTAATATAATTATTTGTATTTGTCTAGCAGTGTTTACATAGAGATTTAGGCAGTAGGACACAGTTTTTTTTTTTTAGTTTTGTATGTAAGTAAAATATAAATGGTCAATGCGTCTAAAAAAAACACATAAAGGGTAGCATTTATTTGAAAAATGTTAGTATATTGTTTTCTTCTCTTAAAAACTTTTTTTGATTATTCGTGGTAACACAGATTTAGTGAATAAATGTGATCAAGCATAAATATAAAGTGACTCTAAAGTTATTTGAACAACAAGTTTATTCATAAACGAGGAGATGAGAAAAACACAAACTACGCATTTTGGGCAAATTAGCACAATTGGGAAAATTTCCACTGGTTATTTTTTAACTGTTTGGATATTTTAACAAGAAAAAGTTTTCTTTACCAAACAACTTATGATTTAAAAGATACATGTGATTTAAGATATGTCTGATATTTGATATTGTAGATAAATAAGAATTGAATTTAAAGTTTTAGGTCAGAAAGTAAAACTGTAAAAAAAAAAAACACATTGAAATAACATTTTTCAAATTCATCTATTTTAAAGGGACACTTTAAACCTCAAATACATTTCAGCTTGCTGAAAAGCTCTATGTGTGAAGAATGAATCCTCTATTTTCTTTTTCCTGATTTCAATAGAAATTGACACTTTTATAAATAACTCTTGGCTGTCACTCCGATAACCAACCCTGCAAGTTCCTGGTTGTTTAGACCATTGGAGCTAAACTCAAGAGGCAGGCAACTGCTCAGAGCACTTACCATGCCCAGATTTCTCACAGAGCTGCATTTTAAAGTCTGTGATTGGACTGCCACAAAGTGTGGGCTGAGACAGATTCCTCACTATCGCTTTGTTTTCCTCTGTTAATGTCATTCAGACTGATGATTTTTGTCAAATCAGATGCTTGTATGACAATCCAATGCTTCTCATTATGAAGCATTGGACATACATAGCATTCAACATTAGCATACTTTGCAAACTGATGCCAGAGATCAAATAATATTTATAATTGAATCTCATTGTGTCGGAACCCACTAGTGTTTCTCTGTCTGACACCCATTACTAGCTGTCGACACTGCAACAATGTAAACAATGCAATTTCGCAGAAATGGCAGTTTTCAGTTGCCATACTTCAGGGCAGCATCTATTCCCCAAATCACTTTAATAAGATGAAGTGATCTCCCATTCTAGTGGGACAGGAATGGATATTGAACACTCACTCCGTTCTTGTAGAGAATATGGTATCTTGCATCCAAGGGGGACTGACCACCGGGGGTCATGGCTTTCCTTTCTCTCCACTTCTGCTCACCTAATCCCTTTTTCTTTTCTTCCCCAGACTGTTTCCTCTCCTTCACCCCATGTTATTATTATGTTCTGGTTTGCTCCACCTGGAGAGATCCACAAAACATACTAGTTGATCAGGCATTCACTGTATAACCCAGCTTGGAGGTAAGTGAGCACACGACCTATTAGGGTACACTGATTTGCACGATTATAGTTATAGCTGCTTTGGCTACTGTTTTGTTGGGCAAACTTTGTTTTCTGCATGGTGGCACCAAGTTGCATTGACATGAATGATCCAACCTTCACATTCCCTGAAACTTCCCTTTTCCCTAATTCCTGTTATTTCCATTATTATTATTATTATTATTATTACACTTTACAGTGGGTGAACAAACAGTCATGTAGTTGTAACCAGACAAATTGGACACACAGGAACAGAGGGGTTGAGGGCCTTGTTCAATGAGCTTACATGCTAGAGGGAGTGGGGTAAAATTACATAAAAAGGTAAGGATAGTATTAGACTAGTGACAGTTGCAAGACAGGAATCAGTCAGGAGCTATTAACAGTTTAATTGATACACTTTTATGAAGACGTGGGTTTTTAGTGATTTTTTTTTGAAGGAGTGGAGACTGGGTGAACATCTAACGGAGGAGAGAAGTGAGTTCCTCAGGAACGGTGCAGCCTTCGAGAAATCTTGAAGGCGAGCATCAGAGGTGGGAGTACAGACAGAAGACAGACGTAAGTCTTCAGCAGATCGTAAGGGCCTAGACGGGACATACTTGTGTATTAGTGAGGATAGATAGGTGGGAGCAGCATTTTGTAGAGATTTGAAAGCAAGAACTTATTATGTTACACACGTACAATTTTTGGATGCATCTGCTTTTGCAATGTTTTTCATCTGCTTATAATTTACTGTCTCAATGTAATTGTAAAATGTTAAATAAAGATTGTAGAAAAAAATAATGATGAAGTGATTTGAGTGCTTAAAATTTTACCTTTAATGCCCTTCTGTCACTTTTAGATTTTTTTGTTATAAAGATAGCAACTTCTTGAACAGCTCTTTTTGAATATATTTTAATATCTTGGGAGTTTTAACACAGTCAAAAAAGGTATACATGATGGCAAAGTTTGGCAAAAGGCAGTGTTTCTGCTATAATTTTTCTTCAGCCATCTATTATGACAGCTGAGGGAAGAGGCATTATCTTGAGTCTTGCATACTAGATTTCTATGGTGCATTATTCTGCATGTGTTATATTATCTCAAGAAGATCCCATGATGAAGGCTTCCGGCCAAAGAAATATAGCAACAATGAAGATTGCAGCAATGAACAGAAACAGTTTAAGTATTTCTCCCTAACTGGTTCTTTCTCTGCCACCTCCACACAAGCAGGCATGTCCAACTTGTGGGGTCTTTGCATAGACCCTAAAAACCCACCTAAGGACTGCTCAAAAATTTCTAGCGTACACAAAAATCAAATAGGGTTATCCATTACAGTATGGGAATATTTGGGAAATCAAATGAATTTAAATGGTTTTTTTTTAAATAACAAATTGTAACATTTTAAAAGGTCATATATGGTTCCAATTCACTTATTGTGGCCTACAATTTGAAATTCACTTTGAATTCATGATTATTCACACTTGACTAAAATAAGCCTGTAAGATTGTGTTCATTCCCAAGAGTTTTGAGCTGCATAGCTGAAATATACTGACTTTTTGATGTAGAGCTGAAATATAGTGTTTGTTTAAAATTTCTATTAAATTGAAAGGAGGACATGAGATGGAGTCAAAGGTCATCTTGAGAGCAAGTCTTTGGGTACTACTTTGTGGTTTCTAGGTGTCTGGGTAGTCTGCACTGACCATTCCCCCAAGTAAATTGTGAGCTTTCTTCCTCGAGTTAAACATCTATGCAAGTCACATTTCAAGTGTTAAAGCTTCTTTGCAAATAGTGAATTTCCTGTGAATGTTCATCTAACACAGAAAAGAGCGTCCTGTTGTTGTATTTGCATTGTACTTAAGTCAGTCTGCAAAAACTGAAAGGTTTAGTGAATAATGCCAAGTGAATTTTGTCTGGCATTATAAGCGTTAGAGTTCTTAGAGTGACACACATATACGACAGCAAGTAATCGAAATGGATGGAAAAAGCAATGTATAAATGAAATAAATTATCTAGATAAATTAGAAAGAATAGGTAAATAGACAGATATTGTAACAGCCCGTTATACAGATATTGATGAGACACTGTAAATGTTAATCAGTAAAGTGACTGCCAGAAATTCACAGAGAAATTCAGTTTGAATTCTTGACAATTCTCACTTTTTAGAGAGAGAGAGAGAGAGAGAGAGAGAGAGTGTGTGTATGTTAAACAATAGATGAATAAAAAGTCATGTAATGTAAAATGTACAGAGCAATGAAACAGGAAAATAACGCAATTGCTGGGCTTTTGAGACATCTATAAAACAATCAGCTTTGACATGGTGATTTACTAAAGTGAGAAATCAAAGTGAATTTCAAATTTAAGGCCAGAGTAGCTGAACTGCAGGCATAGCTGACTTAGAGAATTGTTTTCAGTTAGGCTATTTTTACCTTAAATTCGAAATTCACTTTGAAGTCACCTTGATTTCTCATTTTACTGAATCAGTCCTATTCTTAGACTCTAAAACCCATTCATAGCATTATTTTCTTACAAGAGACACAACACATGTATGTACACTGGATACATATACATGTGGGGACATGATAGACTGATAGACAGATAGAAGCAATTATCTTGTTGCGACCCACAAAGAACAGGGGACCAGGCTGTTTCAAATGTTTTCTTTCTTGATTAGCGGGGAACCCAGGTTAACATATGGTGCAATCACACACACATTATATACTATTTATTGATTAAATTGGCTAAAACTGTTCTTCAATAAAACACTATATTGAATTTAAAAGGTCACTATTTTGTATTTTCTTAGATCACTATAATATACCTTTATTATGGAACAGAATCCATGAATCCATGAATGCATGGAATTATTTTGGAATGTATTGCTGAGCCTCATGTGGCACACAAGCACCTTACCGATATACTACATACAGTGCTCTCCATTCTAAAGCAACTCTAAAACTTAGAAAGTTTATAAAACACAATAACACACATATTCTAATAGATTTTTTGTGTTATGTATTACTTATTTAAGCATTAACTTTCTAAATTAAACAGATTCTTTGTATGGAACGTTTTTGTTTGGTGTGTAAAAATATCTTCACCACACACAAAGAGGTTTATTTAATAGACACCAAACTGTAGTTAACTGAATTAGAAAATTAGGCTAAAGTTGATATTTTGGGAAAATGTTTCAACTAAGGTACAGCAAAAGCTTGACTATCCTAACTCTGCTTTCAATTCACTACAATTCTCTGTTTAGCAAATCATACACATTATGTTTTTTTCTGTCACAGAATGCTGCTAGATAATGGTTTAATAGATTTATATTTTATTTTAAAATACTAACATATTCTGTAGCAGAGAATGACAAGATGTTAAAATATTGAGGCATACATGAATAATATATACAAGAATAATGTATAGTGGACAATACTCAAATAATCTTATCAAATGGTTAATATTGCACAAGGGTCAAGGTGCCATTAATCCAGAAAAAAAAGAAAGAAATGGGATGTGTATTAATTAATTACTGCCACATTTAAATGTTATTTATAGAAAAAACATTATACCCACAGGAGTGGGAAAATTTTGCAACTACAAACACTTTTTTTTTTTTTTAGCACAAAAAAGAACAAGGGTATTTAAACTCAATAGGGCATTGTTCAGAATTAACAAGGGAAATTTCAGTTTGGTTATTATGGTCTGAGATGAGTCATTTTCTTGAGTCAATTTTTCATAAATGATCAGTTTAGTGAATTAACCATATGTGAAAAAAAATGTTTTCAAAATCTTAGGCAAGACAATGACAGAACTCTTAAGAATTGTTCCAAAGTGAAATCTATATATATATATGTACTTGCTTTTATTAAGGATGCTTTGATGGTCTTCCCTTATTAGAATGGACACTGGATTAATAAAGTAATGGTAAACTATCTCGAATGTAAAAACCTGGATATCCTTTCTTCCCTAATTCACTGTCACCTTGTTTCCAGCACCTCATGTTAAATCTGTGTCCCCAGCTCTTCCAATAACTTACTTACCTAGTTGTATTTTTGCACTGCACACCACACCACACCACACATTTATTTCATTATAGACCTCTTTGAAAATGTTTTAAATATATTTCCTTCAGGGTTCCGTTTACTCCTGCTAAGAGACATCTATTTTCTGCTCTCTCTCCTCTGGTCCTCCAGATCTGTCTGCATTTCCTGTCCATTTTTTTCCCATTAATAAACCATTACTCACCCTCATACTAACCTGAACCCAGCCTTCCTCATAAATTTATCACCCCCTTGTTTTGAAAGTTCCTGACCAGCCTCTCTCACCTAACTTGCTCACTTTAGCCTCTCTGGCTTGTACATTTTCACTGAGACAGACCCTCTGATGGTGCCTCACCTGTACAATCCCTCATGTGTTGTGTTTTCAATTCAAGTGCTGTTTTCTTTTAATATAAAAGTTGCTCTCTTCTAAAGCTAATCCCCCTCCCCACCCCCATTTCCCTATTGTACCCAGCATCCTCTCTTCAGCTCATGTAAACACTTGTAATGTTCCAAGTGAACGGTGACTTTCTATTGATTCTGTTTGTTCATTAAGAATCTATCTTCATGACAGTAGACAGCAAGCCCAGATAATGAACTCATCACCTGGGGTTTATGAACTTAGCTGTTAGCATGGTAAACTCTGATTTTTTTACTCCATCGGATCTACTCAGGATAAGCTAACTTAATTTAAACGAAGTGTGATAAACTGTCTATATAAGGTCATTGCCACCAAGAACTAGTATTTTTATAATCGAATATATTAAATGCTATGATACTCACATTAACTGCCTGATATGATTATCTACCTATCTCTGCCACTGTCACAGACTGAAACACTGTACAATTCTAAAGGCAAACGCAACGAAAGAGCAAATGAAATGACGACAATGTAGCAATCGTTCAGGACTAGGGTACGAATCGCTGTGATCACGTGCACTAAATGTACAATTTAGAAGACTAGGAATTAAAATCTACAACAAAAGGCATTAAAGTACGACGCAGTCTAATAAAAAATTAACAGACACCATTCTCACAAACTGTGCCCAGACAATGTTTTGCACTTGGTCAGTTTAACATGTTTTTAATATGTACATAGTTGTTGTGTGCATATATATATATATATACACACACATACAATACTAGATAGATAGATAGATAGATAGATAGATAGATAGATTCACAGTGAATAAAGTAAGGTATAACTAATATTCACATTTTTATGATATGTAGAGGTATATGTATATACACAGATTGCAATATGCAAGATGTAGAATTTCACTTGTGACTGATTCTCAAAGTCCATGACAAAAAAAAATGTAAATCTAAATTTCCAATAAATATTATAACGATGAGAATCTTCTTTTGAAGGATGATTTAACAAGAAACAATTAAATGACTGCAATTTATCTGGCTCCCGAGTTCACAATGCACAGCAATATAGTGAGCTATAAATCCCACTAGATCCCGAATTATTATGAGATAGATTAGCATATAGGGATTGATAGCTGGATAAACTTAATACGATTAGAGATGTCTCTTTCAGATTTCCATATATTGATTCAGGGAATTTTAATTCTGAAACTTGTTATATTATAATCTGTATCTATTACAAGATGAAACATCTTTAGAATAAGCTGCTATGAAGGTTGTCTTAACAAGAGCAAAATAGGGCATATTTTTTTTTTTTTCTAAAAAAATAAAACACAAGTCCTTCGGCCAGGTTTTACTGATTAAATTGAGGATAAGAGAGTGTGATAGCTATAGATTTGATGATGTATTAAATATAAATCCACCACAGGGATACCAACAATCTCCTCTCAATTCTCCACTGCTATAGAGAACAATATTAAATGAAGGCACGTTGCATTAAATACTATAATACTAGTTATGCTAAATTCATTTGTAGAATAGCTTTCTGAGAAATGTAATATGAATATGGACTATTTCTTTGAAAAACTAATAATGTGGGATGTGCTAATAGATCAGCACAGCTGCTGATTTAGCTCTTTATATAAAAGAATAGGATGATACACTTTGAGTTGACTTTAGGACATTTGTAAAATTAGGGTTAAACTGCATATCTTTGTTCTGAATGTTACTATTAAATCACCCCTTTTAAGACTAGTCTGGATTAATTTTCTGTATTTTATAAACTAGTGGCCTCATTTTATATAAAGCCACAGCAAGTGAAATTTGTACCATTTTGACCAAGCAAATCCTGATCAAATGTCCACAGTTGGTAGCAAGTATTTTGCATGTGTCAACTAAAAAAAGAGGGTGAAACGATCATAAATGTCCTAATTACAGTTTAACAGTAAAACAAAAAGGTGTTAATGGGTTTAATCCCAGGGCCTCTCATTGTCTCCCCCCTCTCACTACATATTTACACACCGCCCAGAGGGCTGCCCAATCTCCCCTTTGTTAAAATTTCAATTTGCCTCTTTTTTACGCTCTTTGATGTAAAATAGTGACCTCCAAGTCTTTGAAGTCCCCTATTAGGAGAAAATTAACCCCCTATTTTGCCTACTGACAGCTTAAATCCTGAGCTAATTTCTAGTTACCTTTTTAAAGAAAGTGTGAAATGCCATGCAGACCAACCCAGAGAAGGAACAGATTATCCAGTGACTCCTAATTCTACTTTGCTCATACCTTAACGTTTGATATGGAAGCTAAGGGGCGGGAGAGGAGAGAAATGATCTAAAATAGATTAACAGAAGCAGTCTATGTATTTATATAAGAGTGTGGCATAGATAAAATATATATATATATATATATATATATATATATATATATATATATATATATATATATATGCATTAAGGTGCAGACAGGATATGAAAAAATAGTTTTATATTTTAAATACATACTTAGACATGCTGTATCAGTTTATTGCCATACGTATATTAGCCATACTGTCCCTTTAATTCGATACTGAGGAAAAAAAACTCATTTTGCAAGGCAGCAATGATTTTAAATGAAGCCCTGCGCAACATTTTTATTTTTATTTTTTTAAACACTCCAAGTAAAAGCTAGGGATAGATTAGAAAGATAGATAGATAGATAGATAGATAGATAGCTTATTCATTAACTTAATATCTTACACACACAAGCACTTTGTGAGACTTCTTTATGTTCCTGTCCATGTCTCTCCCTTCCGTATAGAAAAATATATTGAGTGAACAATACAAAACATTCTTGCAAATTTGAGGCACCTTCACAAAGGTTAACCCATTCACTGCCAAACAGTGTGGCCAGGCGCCACTTTGACAGAATTTTCCTGTGCCCCCCTTTTGCAGTGCAGGGGTTAATAAGAGATCAGCGAGGAAATTTAGGAAGGGGTGGTGGATAAAAAGAGAGAAAGCACTGAAAGACTGGAAGAGCGGGGAGGAGCCTGAGCTAGACTTGAAATGTCAATCAGAGGGTGATTGCCAATGATCTGAAGCAATCTGTTAGGAGCTGACCTGGGTCCACTCAGATCAATAGCACCAGAGGGAGAGGACAGAGTCACCAGGAGCCTGTAGAGGACCCTTCAAGTCTGGACCCCCTTCTCTTCCTGCTTGATGTGTAGGGACCTGGAAAGACCAAAGTCCTAGAAGGGGGGTCCACAGAACCCAGTAACCCTTGTGCTGTGTCTGCTCCTCCACCATGTCCTTCCCACAGTTGGGCTACCAGTATATGAGACCCCTGTACCCCTCTGACAGGCAGAGTGTGGGAAGCAGCACCAGGAATGGCACAGACCTCTCCCCGGCTGGGACTCTGTCTAATGTGCTCTCCTCCATGTATGGGGCTCCTTATGCTGCAGCTGCTGCAGCCCAAGCCTATGGAGCCTTCCTGCCCTACACAACGGAGCTGCCCATCTTCCCACAGCTGGTAAGAGCCCCTTCAAATGCTCCGAATGTTCTTCTTTACCTGCTTAACTCATCCCTTGCCCTGTCCCTTTCTTTCCTTGTGTTCCTTAGCTGTGCAAAACTTTCCCTGTGTTCGAATCGTGTGTTCCAAAGCTGTGTGGGGAGATTTTAAAACCAGGGAACTGATTGCTGCTTTTGTTCCTGTTAATTGTGGGAAACCAAAATGAAATTCTGTGTCTTTGCTGTTTGTAAATGTTGCTGTTTTGTTAGAGTAACACGCAGATTTTGTATCAAATAGAATGCTGCCGGAGTTATGGAACTGTATGTGTGTATTATTTGTTGTTATGTATAATTTTGTTTTTGTGTGTCTGTATGTATGCATGTCTGTGCGTTGTAATTCGTTTAAGACTGTTTGCTCTGGCCTCAAGGGTTAAACAAAAAGTTTGTTTTCATTGTAAAATTAGCTGTGATTTACTGACAGATCTAGATAGCAAAGTTGTGAAAGGAAACAGATGAGGGTAAAATATTTTAAAGGAAAGAAACACAATATCATGTTATGGAATTTAACTTATTTCCTCTGAGCTCGGGATGAAAAGCAAATGTGAAACTGATTTTTTTTTTTTTTTTTTACACCAGAGAAAACCGTGAAAGTATGTGTCTGTCTAAGTAATAAATGCAAGTTACTCTAAATTCGGTGGGGAATTACGTGCAAGGTCTATTGTAGCAATGTTTCATGCATTTATTTATCTACCCCCCTTTTTTTATTTCTCTGTTAAGGGTTCCCAATATGAGATGAAGGATAGCCCAGGAGTCCAACATGCAGCTTTCTCTCACCATCACCCAGCTTTTTATCCCTATGGACAATACCAGTTTGGAGATCCTTCAAGGCCAAAAAATGCCACAAGGGAGAGCACCAGCACCCTGAAGGCCTGGCTCAATGAGCACAGGAAAAACCCTTACCCCACCAAAGGTGAGAAGATTATGCTGGCCATCATCACCAAGATGACTCTCACCCAAGTGTCCACCTGGTTTGCCAATGCGAGGAGGAGGCTTAAAAAGGAGAATAAAATGACCTGGACCCCTAGGAGCAGGACAGATGAGGAGGGGAACTCCTATGGAAGTGACCATGAAGAAGATAAACGAGAGGATGAGGAGGAAATAGATCTGGAGAACATAGACACTGAGGAAATTGAGAGTAAAGAAGATCTTGATGACCAGGATACTGATATCCATTCTGACTGCAAAACTGACATTAGGAGTGACTCTGAGGGTTCAGATGGTTTTGAGGATTTGAATACCACGGAGGAGAGGTTCCTCAAGACAGTGGTTGGGGACAGAGTTTTGGAGGAGGACAAGTGTGACCTTTCTCCTGATGCCAAAGCTCATCAACCTACCTGTGAACAGATCAAACTGGATAATGTGTCTCCCAGCCCATCCCAGGAGAACAATTTAATGGTGGCCCATAAACCCAAAATCTGGTCCTTGGCAGAGACTGCCACGGCTCCTGATAACCCACGCAAGTCCCCCCACAGCAGTGGAACAGTGAGCACTCAGAGCTTAATCCCACAACATAAACTCATCACCTGCCCAGGTAGCAGGTTCCAGTCTTGGACAGGGAGGGCCTTTTCTGCCCAGCAATTATCCTTACTGAACTCTGCTCACTTTCTTCACGGACTAAATGTCACCAACACAGCCAACGGTGCGGGCAATGCAGCTTTCACGAAACTAGGGGAGCACACCCACAGCACAGACACTGTAACAGGTGACTGCTATGCCATTTTTTTCAATCAAGTTCACAAAAATACATTGGCCGTATAATATAAAATCAGGGGATTACACCAGGATTTATTATGGAAAATAATTATGTAAAATGTCAAAAAAAGAAGTTACATTCAAATTACACATATTGTCTTCTAAATAATAGTGATAGTATACTATGTTCTAAATATATTGTTCATCTGTACACTTTTTCAATAGTTAAACACCTCGCAAAATTGCATAGTGTTTCAGATAATTATTCTAGGTAATTTTTCATTTTTGTTATATATTGTTTTTGCATTTTTAAACAACAGATCTGTAAATATTAGTTGCTATGATTTTTGCTTTCATTCATTTAACCCTCCCCACTCCAGTACTTTCGTTTGAATTTTTCTTTTTTAAATTTACGATCTGTAATGAAATGTCACGTTACTCTGCACACGTATTTATTTTTTAAATAGTTCTTAAGTATTTTCCCTTTTAATACAATGCGCTAGTTTTATATTTGTATTTTAATTTAGTACAAATTGTAGAAAAATACAAAATAATAGTGGAGAATTACGCACAAATCTATTATTTAATTTGACAATTTAGTAAAAATTAGAGGTTTTGACACGTAACGCATTATTTCTCGTAAATAACTGCTTTGTTCTAAAATATTTTTACAATCTAAAGTAAAAAAAAAAAAAAAAACCTTGCAAATATTTGCCGTTAAGAAAAAGACATTTGAATTAAAATTGATACTTCTCAAACTTTGCCGAGAATATGTTGAATGATGTGAGTTATAAAGTGTATTAAGGGAGATTCAAATAAATCTAAATATATATTTTATCAGGATCATAACATTTATTTTTTATTTACCTAGATCGACAGAATACGTTGGACTTAGAAAAAAAAAGTATAAGTACAGCTTTTCAACCAGTGCAAAGAAGGTGAGAAAGTGATTTTATTTTAACTCATATCTGGGACCTGTTCATATGCATGTACAGTGTCAAGTGCGAAGAATCATAAATATATTTTAGACGAAATATGAATTGCAGTTTTGACGTTTTCCTGGATCGTTGTATATTTCACACATCTTTGGAAATATTAATCATGACTACACACCAGATACATTACGATCTGAATTGAATCTTTATTAAGGTTATCAGATGTCTAACTAATCTAGAACAATTGGCATTTTATTTATTTTTTGTTAAGAGTCCGAATTTAGTTATTTTTAAAATATGCGTGTAGCTAATATACAAATTCAAACTGGTTGAGAGAGAGAGAGAGAGTGTTTTAAACTGTAATGAAGTTTAGCATACATACTGCTACTTAAAATAGTAAAATATTAAACTATTACACTATACTCCCATTTGCTTAAGTGATTCTGCATTGGTTTGTTGCTCTGGCCTCAAGGGTTAAATAAAAATGTGTATATATAATACATAAATATTAGATATAAAAAGATATGTATATTATGTGTGTGTAGTGTCATAGATTAATATGTTAATATATAATACACATAAATCCATATTATCAAATTATGCACAAAGGGGTGGCTATGTACTGTTATTGTGTATGTTAATTTATTCTTTATTTATTTTTAGGTCTCAAAATCAAATCGATGCTGCTATGATCCTTTCGGCATTGTCTTCCTCATAACAGTTTATTATTATTTTTTATACATATATATTTTATTTTTTATTTTTTTTTCTAACCATTGTTCCAATGCTTGTAAAATATTTCACGGACAGTTGCATGCCTGTGTATAAAACCGAACCCAAACTGTTTCTATACTCCCATGCTGCTTAGTTTTAGACTTCATGGTTTTGTCCTGTGATGATTAATTGTCACTTCTTTTTTCATTTTGGATTTTTATTTTATTATTATTATTTTTTCTCTCTCTGTGTATGTGTGGTGTATATAGTAATACATAAAATGTACATATGTCTTAAAAAAATTGTACAAGAAAGTATATATTTTTGGTTAATAAATGAATTGTTGCCACTTCAATTAAGAATTATGCTGTTGACCTGTTCTTTTGGGGATAGATGTTGAATTAACTTTTTATTATCCTGCAAGTATACTGTACTTTTTTTTGTTTTGTTTTCTTCTTTTTTTTCTAAATTTATCTCTCTGGCTCATCCAATATTTTTTGGCATTAAATGATTACACAGACAACAGCTGCTACATACATGTTTCAAAAATAAACATTAAAGAATTTGAAGAGTTTAAGAGGACGTATCAGTTACTAATTAAATGATCACAGTACACCATTAAACAGCAATGCCCACCCTATAGCGCATTTAACTATGGGAACCAAAAAGGGCTCTCATTTTATATAATAAGTTCGAGTTAATCATGCAATCCAATGTGCTAATTGATTGTAAACGCTGCATTATTGTGCTTTCTTTAAAGAGAGAGCTATTTAGAAGGTCTTTAACTGTGAATAGACTTGTACTAGATGCAACTGATATCATTAAAGTAGTGGACAAGAGGTAGAAACAGTGAAAAAAAAATACAGTATGGGTTTGGAGCGCCCTCTATGGGTCGTAAAATCCTTTCAGATCAACATTTTGTATACTGTGAATTCTGTTTCAAGAACTGGATCACTTTTTGGATTTTATGCTAATCAAAACCCTTGCGGTCTTTTTACCTTAAAAATAGGCAATAGTTATGGAGAACTGACAATCGACCTGCAGCATGTTGGCTTAAAATAGCAAAGTTGGGAGGGGGGATGGGGGATCTCATATTCTGCACAATTTAAGAAAAAATATCAAACTATATTTTTAACCTATAGTTTGCAAGTTGTCAATCAGTCCTGCAAAACTTGCTGCTCAGAGAACAGACTTAGTTTGACAGAGCAAATGGGACAAAGGGATGCACAGGCACCAGTATTTGTTTGTCTTCAGTATATATTGGGGGTTACTTGAGTACATATTTCTATACTAATACCCTGATTATCAAATTTCTTTTAAGTGAGGATGAGGGTTATTGGGAGATGTCTCAAACTGGTGAGCTCATGTCTATTCTATGCTATTCTATCACATCTAAATATACTGTGTGTATATGTGCGTATGTATGTATATATATATATATATATATGTGTGTGTGTATATATGTATATATGTGTGTGTGTATGTGAACGTGTATATATATATATATATATATATATATATATATATATATATATGACTTGCACTCACCCTTTCTTACAATGTAAAATTAGAAAATATTGCCCTGGTGCAACCACACATTGAAGATATATATATCAGAAAAAAGAGATGCACTCTTCAATAATATAAGGGGTTACATATGTATCAGATCGACGTTTCGACCCATTCGGGTCTTCCTTAAGATCTCGAGGAAGACCCCAATGGGTCGAAACGTCGATTTGATACATATGTAACCCCTTACATGGATTAAACACAATTTTACTTATTGAAGACCGCAGAGTGCATCTCTTTTTTCTGATATATATATTAAAGCAAAACATTAAATAAACAAATGGGTGTCAGAATACGCCTTTATCACTGATGTTATAGCATTTCATTTTAACTTCTTCCTCTCTGAACATTGTGTCTGTACTCAAAATAAAAGTAGGGTGCTATATATCCTTGCAAAATTGATCCAGCATAATAGTGATATGTTTTGATATTTTTGCATGTTTAAATCTGAAATTATTATTCATATTATTATTTATTTAAGGACAGCATACAGTTTCTCTTTTCATTGAACTGTTTACAATGGTCAGGACATCATTTTCGTGAAGGTACTTTGTTTCTAAAATCCCAGCTTGGATACATTTTAAAACCATTCTTGGTATTGGTAAAATTTACTCATATATTCACTAAAGTGTAAATGGTCAGGAATTCAGAGGGGAATTCCAACTGTAAACCCCAAATAGCTGACTTGAAAACATAGCTGACTGTTTTGTGTTTTTGTTTTTTTCTATTTTGGCACTGACCATTCACGGTTTAGTTAATAACTATGTAAACCCACTTCAATACAAATCCTAACTGACTTTCAAATGCACTGTGGTTCAATATTTCAGCCCATAAAATGTAAGTTTAAATATAATTGCTATTAACGTTTTTAGAAGATTCCTTAAGCACTAAATGCAACAACACACTCTCTGAACTTAACTCGGTCATACAGTGAAAATTATATTAAGTAATTAGTTACTCTTGGAGCAAAACAATTATTGTTACAGCTGTTGTAAAGCTTTGAGGCCTAGCTACTAAGATCACACTGCAGCTGCTACAAATTCAATATATGTAGGTGCATTTACTTAAAAGAAATACTGTCAAAATATTTCTTCACCAGAGTACTAAATGCTGTGAATCTGACATCAATAGATTATTGCTTGTCTAGCTGAAGTCCCTTCAGGAATGGAAAATGTAGATTTCTATCTACACTCAAAAGAACAGGAATAGTCAAGATTAATTTTGCATCTTCAATGAAAGAAAATAGGCTTGAGGTATATTTTTATTTGTATCATCCTAGGACCCAAATGAGAGGCTATTAATATTGTAAATTAATGTTCTTTATTATAGGAAGAAAGAGGGAATTGGACTGAAAGTAATTAGGGCATTAAACTTTATTATAAATGTACAGTGCATTTTGTGGAAAGCAGGTGAATGAAAAAGACAGAATTTGGATAAAAGTCTCTACATCAACGTTGTATTCTAACTGATTGGTGTCTTCTGATCATCAGAAAATAGACCATACATGTTAATATATATTTTTTTTAATTATAATTAACAACATATATTATTGTTATAAATAAAAAAACAAAATAATACAATGCTTAGCTGTGGCTGAACATTTTTCCTTTTCTTTATTAAGTGTCTTACTGCCATTTAGAAATTGTTCTTACTAATAAAGCATTGTTGAAAGAGTAAGCAATGTCCTGTGACATCACGTGGTCAAAATGTTACTACTCTGCAGGAAGTTGCAAAAGGGTGGAAGGGATATCATGGATAATGTAATTGTCACAGGTATGTAAATGTGTAGCTCACACTAACATCATTGTATGCAAACAGAAATCAGTGTTGCTGGGCATAACGTGCGGATAATATGTAAACTGCTCTCAAACTGACCAACTTTAACCCCTTAAGGACACAACTTCTGGAATAAATTTCCATCATGTGTCCTTAAGGGGTTAAACATTCACTTTCATGGGTTAAATAAAACACATTCTATGTGATGTCATCCATGCTTAGTGCTTTTCACAAGTTTCCATTATTTGCATGCATATGTGTGTATTTTTTATTAATTTGGTTGTTTATGTGCCTATACATATACTTTTTTATTTACCATTTTAAAATACCGACAACTACATGCTCATGTGATGAGCTTTGTGTTTATTTTTTGGTTTTGTTGTTTTTAGGAATTTCGCCTTCACGTAGAAGCGTTAGTCACTTTAAGTGGATATAGTCCAGCTGTATTTTTCCTGGTACAGTGTAAATATAGTCTTCTGTGTGAAGATGTATTCGGAGAAGTGTTTTCTTCAACTGGCCTAGTTTAACTATTTGCATTAAAGGGATAGTTACTTATACTAAAATTGAGTCAGTAGCTCTAGCTTTTTCGACACTAACCAAACAAGTGAGGAAGCTCTGAATTAAAAACAAGCTAGAAAGTTATTGTTATTTTATATTTTTAATTCAGCTGTTATTCTTAGGTTTATGTTAGAAATTATTGATTTTTTTTACTAACTATGCCATCTAATGCACCTTTTTTTAAGAAGACCTGATTGTACCCAATTTTTATTTTATGCAACCATTGTAGATGCTGTCTTTGTGTATGTAAATATACATCATATAATGATCTACCTTTCTTGAGAGAAAGAGAGAAAGAGAGAGTGTGTATTTTTCACCATACCAGATATAGATGTATGCAGAAAGCATAATTTTACTATTGTAGTGGTGTTTTTAATAGAATGGAAAGGGACACTGGATTATTTATAGGGCTTCAAAATATGCAGCAGAACACAAAAGGTTTTTTTTTGTTTGTTTTTCTTTTTAAAGAAAAAAATCTACCAAGCTAACTGTGACAAATAGTTAATAGAAACAGAAACAATAAGTGAAAAGGGCCCTGCAGAAGTGAGCTGTCAATCTAGTGGAAGTGGGGTCTCATTACACAAGAGATAATGTTCCTTTTCTAGAAGGAAAGACAGCTTGTCATGTATACGCTCTATAAGGAACCAAACAAATGTAAAATATCTCAGGTTGATACAGAGTAAGAAGGCCAAATATATATCCCCGACTATAATACATTTTACAGAAGGTGGAATTATATAAATTGTCTTATTTTGTTTTCATTTTAACTTGCTTATATTTAAACTCATTACACTTGAAGATTTGATTTCACGTATGTATATAATCTAACCATCCACTCTGAGTCCAAATTAGTAACATTTAGGAACATATGGAATAAGTAACATATCTGGTGCAGTAGAGTTATTTTTACTATTCTGCTTGTTCGACTTCCACTATTATATCTAAACTTGATACGTCACCAGCTACTTGTATGCCTGTACTACCCATTGCCTATCACAGAGTGATAGGCACAAGACAATTTGTACCAAGAACACTAATAAAATGTAAACAAAAAGATTTTTGGTGCTAAATACGATGGGACAAATGCATTTGCAGATTCAATGCACTATTAGTTATTGAAAAATATAACATCTACATATAATCTGTTTATAACATTGAAGATCGACCTGGGCAAATGTATACAATATTAATACCCTGAATGAATAAAACATTTATTTTTCTGATAGATCCGGTTTAACTAGTCTCAGCTAAAAATATAACTCCTTGCTATATTATGTACTTTTACTAGTCAAACCCACTCCATAAATTATGCTTCAGACAAGTTAGGTAAACTCTCTCTCTCCAGCTTGGCAATAAATTTTCATCACATTCCATTCTTCAAAAACTAGGAAATCACAACCTAATACTCTGTTATGTAAAACAAATTAGGGTCTATTCACTAAACACTGACTTGCGTAGATTTTACTATGAACTTGGAAAATGTAGACCACAATGGACGAGTTGGCTATTTTTTTTTCTGTTTTTCTATTTTGTTCTATATGTCAGCTGCCAATTCACTGTTTAGTGAATAGACCTCCC